TTCCGGGTGCACTGGCTTAGCGACAGCTGATCTACTATCGAAATGTCGTTGTTGGAATATCTCAGGATTGTTTTGCTGGCAAATAATGGGGGCATGGGTGCCATCTCCATGATCACACATTCAATACTGAACTTGTAATCATTTAGCAGTCATATACAAGCTGTATCATTGCATTTACTAATTCAATCCAAAGGATTAGACCTGAGAGTATGATTCAAATAAGAAACTTATAAAGAACAGCGTCTCGGTTCCTGTCGACCTACATGGTAGGGGTTATTCTTTTATCCCTCTACACACCATTTCGCTGTCCCCATTCCATTTCTATATAGGTTATTTCCTTCTAAGCTTCCGCGTTTTTGTAACCAGCATGCTCCATCACCTACTATAATGACAGCTCCATACTGCTTAGCTCAGAGTGACTCGATGGGATGAGCAGTCAGTGATACGAGCCTGCCCCGAAACATGCAAAGTTTTGTTTGGAGTTTAGTATTGATTGCTATAAGAATATACGTACATGTACACATATAGACAAACATACAACACGCAAATAGACATGAGACTTTTCGATTAAGATCAAGATTAGTGCTAGCACAGGAACCTTTTGAATACCAATGCTTCAGCGCTGAAAGTTGGACCCAAAGAAGGCTTTAGAAGATTTTCGGTTTTCAGCGTTTAAGCACGGTTGAGAGTGAGCTCGGGCACACGTTCTTTGAAAATGACCTTTTTATTGCAGATCTACAATTATCGAACCTTTCTTATTTTCTCAACACTTCCAGAACCTCGAAAAGTGACGTTTCCACGAACAAACTACATGTCAACGATTCTTAATGGGGAGTCTTGACATCTGTACGCTCAATTTTCGGCGATTGCATATGACTATACAGTACGAAAAGATTCAATGGTGGGACTTGAGACTGATAGAACGTCTTCCAAGAGCCACAACTTTCCCAGGCCCTCGGTCTCGCGCGTCTGACCCCACTTTGACTTTGCTTTAAACAAATCTTAAAGCTTTGAAGACATGCATATCTCAACTTCGCTCGTATTTCGTACTGGTTGATACAGTCGGGTAGTAGAACCAGCGCGCATTTCGTCTTCAAAAAGAGTATGAAGGCATTGTTCACGCAATGGTAAGAGAAACAAACTTTCCAACTTTGAGAGAAAGTTGGAAAGTTTGTTTTCACGAGCGAAAGTAGAGCGCATGTTGCCGATGGTGCGATTTGAAGCAATTAATGCTGGGTGCATAGCATAAGTGGTGAAAAATCAAGGAAGGAGAAAGCAGCATTCTTTCACGTTTCTATATGACTATAGCTTTCTTTAGACATTGAGACTTGAAGACAAGCGCATTTGAAAAGAAGTTTGGACATCTCATACGCTGTTCACAAACCACTGAGACATTAAAATTGTACGAAATCGATACCAGCGGAACCTGTGTTGTATGAGGGACTCTACATAAACGTTTTTAACAAATTTTGCATAGTAGCGGAAAAGGAAGAAATTGTTGAGGAAGATGTCCACTAGTTTTGAAGCTTGTCAAAGAGGGGTGACCATTGTGATACACCAGCTTCTTCTATATTTTGATGTAAAAAGCCTTATGATTGATTATTCTGTTCTAGTACCTCACACTTGTTACCGATTCTTCATAACTACATACAGCTTTTTATTGCTTTGCTGAGCTTTTTTGTTGTTTTTTTGTAAAAGTTGGTGAGCAAGCAAATTGCTTCGAGAACATTGTTGAAAGTATAGGTAATCATTCTGAAATTTTATGCACTCAATTCCAAGAGTTTACACACAATGCGATAGGAATGCCTCACGCCGAAATTGAGCCTATTGTTTCAAAGCGGCATACGCCACTACATTATATTTACAAGTCATGTCGCGTGTAATATGCTCATCAAACAAGGCGACCAAGACCGGCCCTCAAGAATACCAAGTCGTTCCCAAAAGCGGTTTGCAGATAAGGGAACAAATTTAGATTTAGAGTTTCAAACCCTCGATAACTGCATGTATATTGTCCTTATCGGCCACTTTAAGTTTGTGACCCTCCCTTGTAAGTCTGTTGCCCCTCCGATCGTTTATCCTTACTAACATCTACATTGATTTCTGGGCTATTTCGCAGATCATTTCAGCTTCCAAGTCATAACCATTTGTAGCACTCAAGAAGCGCCTTGGCGAAAGAGACAAAAACCGCATTTGTTAAGCTTATTTTTATTTATAAGATGCACCAAACATTCGGGTACGTAGCTGTATAAATCTATGTAGTTGCTCGCTCTTCCTTGAACACCGATACTCGTTAAGAACACTAAATTCTTGAATGCTAGGTTGTCACAAACTACGATATGTGCACGCGTCCTTTAGACATGTTTTTATAAATTTCGGCAATATACACCGCAATTTCGAAAACAGCACAAAATTTGGCAAAATATTGACAGTGAGCCTATAGCTTTTTGCGACAGCCGCTCGTTCCCTGGTGTTCAAGACAAGTAAGCGATTGGTTTTATACTGTCCGTATGTCAGTTTTTAGAGACTTTCGAAGACAATAAACTACGCAATGCTAAAAAAGCACAAAATCTAGCAAAAAATATTTTTCAAATAAAACTGTCGCAAGAAGCTATGCGAGCTGCTGTCGCATAGCTCCTTGCGACGGCAGATCGCTACCTAGTATTCAAGAGAGGCGCAGGCGATTAGTTTTCAGTATGTATGTCATCCATCTCGAACTGGCGTACTTAGTAGGTGGCACCCAGACATTCTGCGCGAACATCCCTCAAACTTCGACATTTTGAACAATGCTGCCGAGCTCAGTGAGGTAGCAAAGGGAAGGATGGATCCTACGACTGTTGCTATTTGACCCATATATGCTTCTTCGGTAGTACTAACCATCATCGTATAGAAACAGTCGACATATAAGCTGAATGCTCGTTTATCTTTGAATCTGGGCATAATAGGATGTGTCAGTAAGTATTGTGCTTGCCAACCAGACTGCGGTGGAGACTTTATTGACCTAACGTTTCGACATCGGCGTCATCATCAGAGGTCTGAAAATAGATTGTAGGCTTTAGATCTGGTCACCAGACTCTCAAGCGCCTCTTCCCACTGTGTCAGTCTAGACCTAGTCTGAGACTCACAGCATGAGGCCCTCAAAGCCAGGAAACGAACAAACCTTGACTCCACCAGCTAGCGACAAGCCTGCACATTTGATGGTAACGGACGTCACTGAGTGCCATTCAGTGAGTCAAGGCCTTTTATGTGCGTCACTAAGCCCACATAATGATATGAATGGAGCTAAGTCACTACTGATAGACAAACACTCATTTTTGACATTCAGCGCTGGATTTTCGACACTAATCCATGCGGCTTCGAAGATTTTCCTGGCGCATATCTCGGTTTCATAGGTTAGAATCGTACATTTCACTTCATAATCATTTCCGCCATGTGCTTCAATCTTATGCCGTCCCAACGGTGCTGTTTGAGTCCCTCGTCTTTTGGTGGCTAGATGTATGCGCGTATGCCACTGATGTACTGTCGTTACATCGATGACTGCTGTGTAATAACGTCTACTCAATCCGAAATGGATGAATGCTTTAAGTTGCTAAACCAGCAGTCCGAATACATCAAGCGCACTCGAGAAACCCCACGAAAAGGGTGGCTTCCTTACCTTAACACTCAGATCAACTTTTCCGATGGTGTTATCCATGTCAAATGTCGTAAAGGAAGCTCCAGAAACATCTTGGTCCATGCCATATCGGCTCACCCCACAGAAATGAAAAAAAGCGGTCGTTCAGAGTATGATGAGAACTGCTTCGATGGTGTGTACGGGTCACGAAGAGCGGCTTGAGTCACGAAAGCTTGCATTACAAATCGCGTGCAGCAACGGATATGTATTGCAAGAACATCAGCGTATTAAGCAGCATCCCGAAAATCATATCCGAACTCAATGCGATAAGATCCCTCTTTGCATGCCATTTATTTCAGACGAAGTCTGCAAGGCAATCAAACAACATTTATAGAGCCCAACTGCAGGATGATGTGTTGCTTGTCAATATCCCGAATAGTAATATAAAGAAGCAGTTGGTGCAAAACAGACTTTATGATAACGATTGCATGATGGAGCATTGTATTGTTTGTCCTTATGGCAGAGTAGGAGATTGTGCAAAGGCAGGTGTGGTGTACCAGCTATTATAGAATGTCTGACTTGCCATAATTGTTATATCAGAGAGACGGGTAGAAATCTAGGTGTAAGGTTAAAAGAACATCTAACCACCAAAAAACGAGGGACTCAAACAGGACCGTTGGGACGGCATAAAATTGAGGCACATGGCGGAAATGATTATGAAGTAAAATGTACGATTCTAACCTATGAAACCGAGATATGCGCCAGGAAAATCTTCGAAGCCGCATGGATTAGTGTCAAAAATCCAGCTCTGAATGTCAAAAATGAGTGCTGTCTATCAGTAGTGACTTAGCTCCATTCATATCATTATGTGGGCTTAGTGACGCACATAAAAAGCCTTGAATCACTGAATGGCACTCAGTGACGTCCGTTACCATCAAATGTGCGGGCTTGTCGCTAGCTGGTGGAGTCAAGGTTTGTTTGTTTCCTGGCTTTGTGGGTCTCATGCTGTGAGTCTCAGACTAGGTCTAGACTGACACATTGGGAAGAGGCGCTTGAAGGTTTGGTGAGCAGATCTAAAGCCTACAATCCGTTTTCAGACTTTTGATGATGACGCCGATGTCGAAACATTAGGTCAATAAAGTCTCCACCGCAGAATCTGGTTGGCAAACACAATACTTACTGACACAGTCGACATATATTTAGGCAAAAATCCTGAGAGGGTTGTGGAGTTGCATGCCCACATCAGCTGCAATATCACCATATCATCATCACCCATAATGTCCCTTTTTCTACGAGATGTGATTTGGCCCAAGTTGACGCGGTAACAGAAACACAGACAGAAATACAAGTTTATGTACAAGATGAGCATAGCAAACTCTTTACAAACAACTCACTGTATCCCTACTTTTTTCATAGTTTGTTGTATAACAACGTCCGCAACAGTATCGATCACAACTCCTATTTGCGTCGTATCAGTGGCACACGTTTCATGAGTATATATACTTCTCTTAGGATTTTTGTTCACTTGTTTGAACTTCTTTGTGATGTAATCCAGAGCAGGTCGATATTCCTGAGCTCCTAAATGTTTTCTGGTGTACATTTCCAAAATCATTTCGACAGAATATTTTCAATCTTACCTTTGTAGTTCTTAAGCGCACAAGTTATGTTTATCTTCTTGATTTTTTCGGCGAACAAGTCTATTTTGTTCAGGAATAAGATAATTGCTGTGTTTATAAACCACTCATTGTTGCATATTTGATCAAACAAATCTATTGCGTCCTCCATACGATTCTATAAAAGTGATTCGTTCTTATCGGTTATCAAGTGTCAATCAAGAAACCGTTTGATTGTCCTCCTCGAGTACTTCGTTATAGTCTGCTAACGAGGTTATAAATAATACAGCATGTACGTCGTCGAAAATATGAATCCACTTTCGTCGCTGCGCTTTTTGTCCGCCAACATCGAATATTCTGGAAGCGACTTATAGAAATAATAGAACTAGTCGACAATTTTTTAAAAGTTACCTGAAGGTAAAGTTCTTTATCAGAAATGTGAATTGATATACTCCGGACGTGGATACCCGACTTTTGAGAATATCTTCCAAGGACGGAATGTAATCTCTCTGGCGTATCCTGGACAGCTCTTGAAGAAAACTGAAGAAAAGATCGGGGTGAACGAGAACGTCAACTCATCCATAACTTGATATTGAACAGCACGTTATGTGCGCCTTTACGACATGTCTTGCAAGTAGCTTATTTGAGCAATTTCTTTCTGTTCTCTCTCCCTCTTGAGTATATGTGGATGCTTGATTGTGTACGCATTCATTTCTGTTCGACTTGCCCAATATTGCAATTTCAATTATTTGTACTTGGAAAGTGTGGCAGCGCAAGATGTGCGAACTTCGAAATTTAGAAAAAATGGCATATGATCAGACTGTGCTCCATAGGCTTTGGTTATATGCGAAACCGTCACCAAAGTACGACGTTGCAGAATTTTCGATTCATGTCACTAATCCATTCTTGCTACATTGCAAGCATCTGCTTTAGTTCGCTCAGTTTCTTCTCACCTACTCAACACACCGCGTTTCAAGCCACTTTCGAAGAAAAACATGCGTAACGCTTAAGGCATACTTCCCGTGTTTCCGTCAAATCGCTACATCCACGCGACTTGGTGATTTGCCAGATGTCTAAAAATTCACCGTGAGCGAGTCTCAACTGCCTAGTCACATAGCTTTTGTGAGCTGGTGCAAAAACATCAAGTTTGGCCCAAGAAAAGCGCGCTCAGGTCCAGTTTTGTAGAGTCGTTGCAGCGCAGATCGCGCAGCGACTCAAATCGTGTGAGAATGCCTTAGGCTTAACATAGTTTAGAATGAACGGGCATCGCTAGCACATTCAAAAATTCGATCTTCGGTCACCAGGAAATCAAGGTTTTTGGAAATGTAATCTGACTTTGAATCTGTCCAGGCTGTGATATAAAAACAATAAGCTGAATTGTCGGGTTGGCCTTCATTAATTCATGTTACTCTGCGAAAGGAGTTAGTTTGTGATCATTTATTTCTGTGAAGAATTCCAGAGAAAGCAGAGAGATAGAATGGGTTGGTCAAAACGATACAAGCCACGTTCACTACATTGAAGGTTTAATCTCCGAATCATAAACACATTGATTTGAAACATAGGCTTAGCAAACTCTAAATTTCTCTGCTACTTGAAATTGATTTAGCCGGTAACTGTCTTATTCTGACCAAGCCAATGCTAAAGCTAGATCCCAACTAGAAGTGTACACCACTTTTCAGAATTTTTGGAAACTTTTTTCAAAGCACGACTAACCCACAATGAGCTGCAAGCCAAAAGTTCCTACCATAATCTACAGTGGTGAAGAGCATTCGGTAATTAGCTCCATTTTGTAAATCTAAGTTGAAGCCAGCTCTACAAAATGGTATCTTAAAGGCAGTCTTAGGACAACGTGGGGGTTTGGGGTTTTAATGCCATGCGAAAGTGGACCCCCTTAGACACAGCATCGCGCAAGTATAAGGTAATAATGTTCGACCTAAAGCAAGAAAGCGGTCGGAAAGTGGGGAAACTTAAGCCTTGGGAGGGATCCTCCGACCTGTTTGAATTCCTGCTATGCGGTAGAGTATGCATGCCGCCACAGCAGAAATCGTAGGGTCCGGCGTAGGGTCTAGTAAGTGGGTTGGGGCAGATACATTGATAAGTGTCTACGTGCAAATAAGAATAGCAAGAGAGAATTTCTATTTTTTCAACGATCTTTTTCGCAATGCAAGTAGTAACAGCAGCAAGATCAGGCTCAAGCAAAATGCCGAGATTTCCATTCGTTTTCATTTCACATTCAAAAATTTCGGGCTGGAAAAGTATCACAACCGAATGCAAGTTGATCGGCATGGAATGATGTTGTAACAGTTGTCTCGTCGCGATTCAGTCGCGACGATCAAATCGCGTGAAGTCTGCCCGGGGCCCTAGGAGAAATGTTTGCCGCTTGAAGTTCTTAGAACCTTTCTTTCGAGACCAAGCTCCCTTTGCTTCTTTGTTATAAGAGGCAGAGATGTGATTTCTGCGAAGTAAAAGCGGTTAAAAGTGGACTTCAAGCGAGCTTTTGTATAATTTAGCATTAAAACTGAGAATTTATCAACAGAAAACGCACTGCCGCATAAAGCGCCTGCAGCTTTCCTCCCTTCGAGACCAATTCTCCTCTGCTCTTTTTGATTTTTCAAGGCAGAAGTACGATTTTGTTTTCGCAATTCAATCTCGTATATCATACTTGTGGTCGCCATTGCTGTTAGAATCTTGTTGCGTAGGTTGGTTATCCTATTGGTGCTCATTTTCCCTTTCGCAGTTGAACCATATTTCGCCAAAATTTCTTTGCGGTGTGATCGTCTGACTTTGGATGCGTAAAGTTTCTGTAGTATTTATATTATACTAGCTGGCTTACCCGGCTCCGCCGTATCCGGACCAAACTTGGCACACATACACTTCGGGCCCCGGCGGGTGTCACAGTCCACTCTTCGTTATCGATCGATGTCGATTTTACCGATTTTTATCGATTTTTTTGCAGAGTTCACCTACAGGGCTAGGAGTTGGCACAGGGGGGGAAGTGAGCATGGGGATTCCGAATACAATATTAGTTTTCAGAATTATCGATTACTTTTATTGTTTTTATCGATTTTTTGTAAATTTTGACATGCGAGGCTGGGATTTTGCACAGGGGGGTAATCGAGCATGCTGATTACGAACACAATATTAGTTTTCAGGATCGTCCATTACTTTTATCGATTTTATCGATTTTTTGAAAATTTGAGCTAGGGGGCTGGAATTTGGCACAGGGGTGTAATCGAGCATGCTGATCACCCCCCTTGGGGATGATCAGCATGCTCGACTACCCCCCTGTGCCAACTCCCAGACCCTTAGCTCAAACTTCGCAAAAAATCGATAAAATCGATAAAGGTAATCGATAATCCTGAAAACCAATATTGTATTCGGAATCCCCATGCTCGATTACCCCCCTGTGCGAACTCCCAGCCCCGTAGCTCAAACTTTGCAAAAAAATCGATAAAATCGATAAAAGTAATCGATAATCCTGAAAACCAATATTGTATTAGGAATCCCCATGCTCGATTACCCCCCTGTGCCAACTCCCAGCCCCGTAGGTGAACTCAGCAAAAAAATCGATAAAAATCGATAAAATCGATATCGATCGATGACGAAAAGTAGCCTATGACACCCGCCGGGGCCCGTAGCGTATGTGTGCCAAGTTTGGTCCGGATCGGTTCAGAAATGGAATTTTCTATTCGGAACATACGTACAGACAGACAGACAGACAGACATACATACAGACAGACAGACAAACAGACATTCAGCTTTATATATAAGATGCATGGTTCTGCTTCAATTATATCCTTGGCCGGTGCCTATCTTGAATAACTCTGTAGTATGTGAAAGTGGAACTGCAGATTAACCGCAACAAAGAGGAAAAAGCGTGGAAGATGGGAAGCGTGGGCGTTTGCGCTTAAAATATCAATAATTTGATGATTTTACGCTTCTATGACAAAAGCGGCCAGCTACGGCTATGGGCTGCTGGCGGCTACTACGGGCTGCTACGGGCTGCCAGCGGCTGCTACGGGCTACCAGCGGCGGCTGCCGCCGCGGTATGAAGGCACTTTTATAGCGATACTAAAAGATATAAAATTCGCTCAAGCTTTCTATCGGATAATCTAGCAAAAAGGTCCTGCTGTTTAGCCGGTGGCTCTGTCCTTCTTTTGAGACCAGCCTCCCCTGCTTTTCTGCTTTTGGGTGCCAAAGCATAACTTTCGCGAAGTAGGCGCGGTTAAAATGGATTTCGAGGATTTTTTTTATAACTTAGCCTTGAAAACAAGGAATTGTTCGGAAAAATGTCCTGCGGTAGTACCTACCCTAGGGGTCGCTATCAAGTGGGTTGGGGCAGATACATTGATAACTACCTGCATGCAACTTAAAATGGCAAGGAAATGGACTTCCATTTTCTCAACGATTTTTGGCGAAACGTAAATATGTAGTCGTAGGAGTAAAAGCATGACCTCAAGCAAACTTTTACAATGATAACTCTCAAATCATCTACGCTGTTCTTCTTGCAAACTCCTTTACTTTTTCGCTATTGAGAGCACAAGAATTTTTGCTTGAAGTAAATTTCAAGGAGGTTTTTCATAAATTAGCCTTGAAAACAAGGAAGTCTTAACGAAAATGTCCCGCGGCAATACGACCCTACGGGTCGCTAGCAAGTGGGTTGGGGCAGATACACTGATAACTGTCTACGTGCAACTAAAAATCGCGCCTTGAAAACAAAGAATTGTTCGGAAAAATGTCCTGCGGTAGTACCTACCCTAGGGGTCGCTATCAAGTGGGTTGGGGCAGATACATTGATAACTATCTGCGTGCAACTTAAAATGGCAAGGAAATGGACTTCCATTTTCTCAACGATTTTTGGCGAAACGTAAATATGTAGTCGTAGGAGCAAAATCATGCTCTCAAGCAAAATTTTTACAATGGTGACTCTCAGATCATCTATGCTGTTCTTCTTGCAAAGCTCCTTTACTTTTCCGCTATCGAGAGCACAAGAATTTTTGCTTGAAGTGAATTCCAAGGAGGTTTTTTATAAATTAGCCTTGAAAACAAGGGAGTCTTAACAAAAATGTCCCGCGGCAGTACGACCCTACGGGTCGCTAGCAAGTGGGTTGGGGCAGATACATTGACAACATTCTGCATGCAACTAAAAATAGCAATAGAATGAATCCCCATTTTCTCAACAATCTTTTTCGCAATGCAAGTAGTAGTGGAAGCAAGATCAGGCTCATTTCAAGATTTCATTTCAAGATCATTTCCATATTCTCAACGATCTTGGGGGAACGTAGGTACGTAGTAGTAGAAGTGAGATTATGCTCTCAAGGAAAGTTTTCACGGTGAGTAATTCCCAAATCATTTACGCTGTTCTTATTGCAAGTACCCGAGCCAGATACCACAGCTACTAAACATGAAGATCACCTCATCAGTCATCTGTGTAGAACAGCTTTCAACCCGAAACTCAGGGTGAAATTCAGGAACTGTGCAACGGCCGCTAACACATCAAGCTTCGCGATCATGTACAG